CTTTATGTACTGATTTTTTGCTTTTTAAACGGCCTAACTATCTAAACGTTTTATCCAGTCATCTAGTCGACAAGTATACAAAACGTTTTATCCAAAACAACAACCAAACAATTTCGTTCATTAGTAACAGCAAAGTACAAAATGAATTTTCATTAAGTAAATTGGGCACAAATTCTAACCATTTTACATATGAAAATTACTAAACAAAAAGCTGCAAAAAGCTGAAAATTACATGCAAATCCTAAAGCAAAAACAAGAGCCGCCCAAATTAGCCTTCGGAGTCAGACTCCAGCAGCTCAACATCCACTTGCTCGTATGGAATTGGCGTAGCCAATGTCACATCAGCAACAGCAAGGGCTTTGAGCCAGTCGTGTTTAAATCCCCGATTCTCAAATTTGGGGATTTCGTCTACATATTCATCAAAAGCAGATTTTTTCCCAACATTGAATGCGCTGGAAGCCTTCAAGTCGGCTGTTTCCTTCGCCGACTTCATCTCTTCCAACCCAGCCTCCAATTTAGAGATCGCCTCCTGGGCCAATTTAAGCGCGTCGTCGCTCGCATTCGCCCTCTTCTCGGCGACTGATCTCAATTCTTCAGCATTGCGAGCTCTCTCCATCTCAGCCTCGGCACGGGCGCCCTCCGTCTGCACCCTACTCCTTTGGCCCTCAACCTCTGCTTGTAAACGGCCAATTAGCTTGACGGCATCGTGATAGCGACGGCCCATGTCGGCTATCCTTCTGATGGTCTGCAAAATAGGAAGTTAAGAACAAAATAATATTTGCATAAAGAGAAAAGACAAAGTCCAGAGATATACCAAAAGAGCCGATTGTGCGGCCAACCCAATTGCAACCAGATCAGGCTCTGCTCGAAAAGCTGCCTTGTTAGCAGGCAGTGAAACGGACATCGCCAAGCTGAGTGCAACTGCTGGATCTTTGATTACAGAAGCATCGGAGGAGATCGGCGTATTTTTTTATCTTAGGCTGAATAACAAAAGGTAGAATCGCATCCGACTCCTCCAAACGAGGTCGTTTGTCGGCACGGTCTTCTTTTGAACCGGCCTCGACATCGGCAGGGCGATTCTCCACCCTTTGCTCAGCTTCCACACTCGCCTGCACAAAAGGTTCCGCCTCGGTACTTCCGTTCTTTGTCGTCCCCTCAATAACAGGCAAGGAGGACTAAGACTGAGATTCGGCAGCCCGGATCTCCTCTGCCCTTCACCGCGCGGCCATCCTTTTTGCATTCGCCTTCTTGGCAAGTTTAGTGAGGCTCAACCCAGCCATATCTTCTGGGAACGCGACGGGAAGGTCTTCTAGACCGTGAAAAATATCGTCAAGTAGACAGTCCTCTCGACCCGAAGTGGACGGAGGATCAGTCGAATTGAGGTCAGCTTCTTCAAATACTAACTTCAAAGCCTCGTTAACCTTAGTTTCGAATTAGTCTGACTCGGCGGCCTTAGCTACTTCCGGCCGCTCCGAATCTAATCCCTCGCAACCGACTTGCCTCAAATTTCTGAAATCAGTCAAGATAAGGGCGATAAGAAACTCTTCACCCTTCGGAATTGGGATGTTTTCCGCCACCAAAAAAGGCGTATAAGTCGGCTCGTAGCGGAGCGGAACGTGGACCGCCCTCTCCTGCTTCTAAAGACTCGGTCGGCCGAAATACTTGAGCGCAGTCTTGATTTCCGAAAGGACGACGTCGTCGATCGAGGTCAAGACTTTCTTCAAATCGTTTCCTGCAAAAGCAAAACCATGAGGTTCCGAAAATAAAGTTTTATAAATATAACAAATAAATAAATAAAAAGAAGATACTCAGCCACCTGATTCGCTCCTCCGTCTAAGAATACGATCAAGGCGATCCTCGCCTTCGCCGAATTCCCAGTTTCCTTGGACGACGACCATAACATCATCGACTCGCTTCCCAGAGCTGGAAAGCATAATCACTAGTTGATGGTCGGTGTCTCAGGCCTTAAGGAAATAACGCCCGGGCCGACTAGAAAACTTGGCCAAGGCGTAGCAATGCCGAATAGTGGGAATGTCAAGGTTAAGCCCAAGGCGGGGGTTTAGTGCGATAATCCCTATCACGATCCTAAAGAAGTTGATGTTGGGTTGGGAAGGGATTAACCCCCAATGGCAAAGCACGGCCCTGAGGAGTGGGCAATGGGGGAAACGGACCCCACCCTTTGCGATTGATAGAAGAGGGAAGACGATCGTGGTTTCATCAACCCTCTCCATATCAAGGGTGCCGTCTGCCACAAATGACAGACGGACGTCATCAAGAATGGAAAAATGGCGTCGGAAGCCAGAAATTCGATCTGGTGAGATGAGATATTTTAAATGTTTCGCCATTCCCCCCAGCTAATAGGATTATGCGAAGCCAAAAAACAAAGCAGAGAAAGAGAGAGCTTACAAGAGACGAAGGAGATAGAGAAGAGTAGGAAGTTGCAAAGGTAGTCCGGAAGGCAGTCTAGCGACGGGCGTCTAAAAGCTTGTATGCATTTGAAAAGACGTCGAAATTTTAAATCACAATAAATAGAAGTGTACGAAGAGGCGGGAAATTGAAATGATAACCGAGAAACGTGTGTACAGACATTTGTGTTGGAATACGGTCAGCCGCTGAATTTCGGCTATGACTCTTCGAGTTCGAAGCGAAACACTCCAGCCAACTGCCGTTAGTGGAGTGCTTGGGGGTCAATTGTGGGGGCCGAGAATTGGGAGTCGTAGAGATTCCGGATAGTCGAATCTGGGAGAGTCGAGATTCGAAGCACTCGGCAATTGGCTCGAAAGCTCAAATCCAACCCTACTCGGCCAAATAACCGATCAAGCAAGGGGCCGAGTGAAGATCGGTCTATTATAAAATGAGCCGAATATGAGGTGGGAAATGGATCTAATCCCGAGGCCCAAAGAAAAAAAGATATAAATAGAAGAAACATCAGCCAGAAAGAGGTATGTGAGAATTGTTGTGCTAAACTTAGAATACAAGCATTCTTGAGCGTTGCGACTGACTTGTCCGTCGGAGTGCTAATTCCGGCACCCCCGACCGGAGTGTTTATTCCTTTTCAGGTGACTAGAAGAGGATAACAAGCGTTCTCCAGGATCTGAAGAGTATTTCCAAACCACTTCTCCATAATTACATAAATAAATAATAAAGTAAATTAAAAAACTAAATATAATATTATTGGGCCGAACTACATATCTAAATCACAAACCCAATTCGTTTACTAAATGGACTTAAAATATTGGCCTAACCTAATTTTATGGGCTAAAGTATATTTTCATATACATAAAGAAATAAAGTTAGATTGGCCTCGCTTAACAAGTGGCTTTTTTAGCCAAAAAGTCAAAAAGTTACTAAAAAAATAAAAAAGTCAACAATCCATATCAAAAAGTCAAAAATTTCATTTTCTCTCTACTTTTTGCACATCTTTTCGTAAAAAGTCAAAAAGTTATCCAAACATACTAATTTTTTTTACATCACATTTTAGCTAAAAAGTCAAAAAGTTACTATAAAAGCCTGTTCCCAAAGGAGGCCGAGTTGGACGGGCTGAACAGACCATCAGACTGATGCTTAACCATACTTGGAAGCTATTAAAACCTTGGCCGACTACCCTTTACCCGCAAAATTAGTATTTCCCTAACATTAACTAATCCCATAAACCAAATGCCTAATAATCAAACACAATAAACACATGAAGATTAGTGATATAAGAAAAATCGAAAAAATCAACTAAACCGATTGAACCAAATCGAACTAATTATATTTGGACGGTTTTTTAATATGAATCTATCTGTTCGGTTTTGGAAATTAATTTTTTTAAAATTTTCGATTCGATACTGATTTTGATACACTATATACCAATTTACATCGAAACCGACCGAATATATTTACATATAATATATATTAAATATATAATGAATAACACTGCCAATTTGTCTTCTCCATGAGAAGACATTTACTGCCACCAAATAGTGTAATTATTACACAAGTCTTGTACAATTAACATAGCTAAGGAAATAAAACATCAACCATTACACTTTTCCCTAATGGAATAGAAAACATACATGTTAATTAAACTTTTTCAAAATCTCATACATGCCAAGAACGAGCTGTTGGTATCCCCAAAAAGAAATCATGTGATAGCATTGTCAGCTATCACATACATTTTCATAGCACAGAAATGCCTCATACACCCACTGGGGTTGACCCCCAGTGAGGTGGCACTCCATCATTTGACAAAAAAAAAATATTTTTTTTTTTTTTTTTTTTTTTTTGGATTTGAGCCAGTGGGGGTGCGACACCTCACTGGGGTGCGACCCCCACTGGGGGTATGCATCACTGTTTAGACCGCATTGAGCTGAACCGTTTGAATCGGTGCAGTTTGATAAAAAAAATTGGTCTGTATTGGTTTTCAATATAATAAAACCGACATTATCGGTTCATTGTAAAATTTCACCTAGACACCGACCGTCCCGAATCGATTATATCCCTAATGAAGATGACAATACCATTAATAATAATAAAAAGAAATAATAAATTTATTCAAAGTAAATGTGCAGGAACTTATATATTATTTAATATGTTAAATAAAAAAAAGAACAAATTACCAACACCCCCTCAAAGTTTGACTAAAATACGAATTTCTCCTGAAGTTTGAGAAATTACAAATTGCCATCTGAGGTTTATATTTGTATAACAAATGAAGGGACGATTTGTTATGCAAATATACACCTCATTAGGCAATTTGTTATGCAAATATAAATCTTAGGGGTATAATGTAATTTCTCAAACTTCAAGAGAGAATCCGTATTTTAGTCAAACCTCGAAGGGGTGTTGGTAATTTGCCCATAAAAAAAAATATATAGATATAATAATATTTTCTGGCCTGACTACCTACCAAAATTCCAAGCCCAATTCATTTAAGAAATGGGCTTAAAAGACAGTGACCCAACTTTATCAATCCAAATTCTTCAAAAATAATGTTGGGCTGGACACATAACTGGGCCTAGGCCCAAAGCAACTTGAAAGCCGATAAAACCCTTGGCAGTCTAGGGTTAGGGTTAGAAGATTCTCCATCTGCGCCTTGCTCTTCTGTGCGCTCTCTCCCTCTCTCTAGGTTGCCTTCCATCCTCCGCCGCTGTACTCTCTCTCTCGCCGATGGTACGCACCGCCGTTAAATCTTTCCATTATATTCATCTTCTCTCTCTTTCTTTCACTTTCTGTCACTAAGATTTGATTTTGCAGGCTCCGAAGAAGGACAAGGCTCCTCCTCCATCTTCCAAGCCCGCTAAGTCCGGTGGCGGCAAACAAAAGAAGAAGGTTCGTAAAATCTCTCTCTACTCAAATCTATGTGTTTGTTTGTGTATTTTGGCTTCTTTATGTTGTGGTGTTGTGTGGATCTGATGAGTTTTTGGTGTTGAACATGTGAAAAATGAGCAGAAGTGGAGCAAGGGAAAGCAAAAGGAGAAGGTGAACAACATGGTGTTGTTTGACAAGGCCACATATGACAAGCTTCTCTCTGAAGCTCCCAAGTACAAGCTCATCACTCCTTCCATCCTCTCCGATCGTTTGAGGGTAAAATTACTAAATTCTTCGTATATTTAGCTTAAAACTGATATCATTTGACTCACTGATTGCAGATTTAATTGTTATATGAATTTTCATGTTGTATTCACTTCTTTAGCTTTCTACTTTTTTTATTTAAAATTTTTTTTTTAACAAATCCTGGTATTGTGTTCAAATGATATCATTCATTGATTGCCTCCAACAAAAAAAATCCAAATTAGATTCAGGAAAGATCTGATTGCCTTAAATTTAACTGATGGAAATGGATTGATATAGCTGATCCGAAGGAACTAGGATAGAGGCTATTTGAGTTGTATGATTTATAATTCTAAATTTCTACTAGATGTTGTGAATGAATCTGCTTATTTTAATTGTGGCCAATTATTTGATATATTCGATTTGATGCTTAAATGAGTTTTGCGTAAATTGTTTTGAGTTTGATGGATATAGTAGTGTTAGATTCTAAGCATAAGCATGTCCTTTGGAAGACATGATGTAACTGAATAAACTTATCAAGGCAGATTCCAAACATAAATTTTGTGTGCACAAATTGAGCTTGTTTTTGCAGCTTTGGCCAATAAATATCTGGGTATGGGGTTGTCTTATATAATGAATTGGATTTTGTTACACATTGGTACTATTTGAAACCTAGCAAATAGGTGGGTTTTGGTTTAATAGATTTGTCTCTCAAATGATGAGCTTTCAACTGCCAATTTGAAATACTATTTGAAGCCTAGTAAACAGTATGGTTTCTGGTTTAATAGATTTGACCAACCTATGCTTGTCTCTCAAACCATGATCTTTCAATTTCTGGCTTGAATGTAATTGTCCAATACAACAAATAATCAGGGAATGGCAACAAGTGGGTTTAAGGGAATGCTTGATAACAATGGTTAATTTAAGGCTTGAAAGATTTTGTATAATTTGTTTTTTTACACCAAAATTTTTTTGGTCTTTTTTATTTTCACACTGGTTAATTTAATCTTACTATTAATTTTGGAAAATTTAAAAATAGTCTTCTTTTTTTTTCAAGCTTCGTGAAAGTACTCTCACTTTGGCACTAATCGTCATACCCTTTCAAGTAAATTGTTAAAGTGAATATTATACAGTGTGTTTGGTTTGAGTTTTTTGGATAAAGTTTTTTAAAAATTGGGTTTTTGGTTTTCTTGTTTTTTTTGCTTTCAGTGAATATTTTTAAAATTTTAAACATTTTTTTTTACTTTTTTAGATGCACCTTACTTAGATGTATCTAAAAAGTTAAAAATTTGTGAAAAAATATTTTAAAAAATTAATAAATGCATAAACATACAAAAAAATGTACTGAATTCTCGTTTTTTTTTTTGTATTTTTGGTATATAGCGAATTTTTAAAAGGTTTTTTTCACAATTTTTTTATTTTTTAGGTATATTTATGTTAGGTGTGTCTAAAAAGTTAAAAAAAAAATACTTAAAATATTTAAAAAATTCAGTAAAAACAAAGAAATATGGAAAACAAGAAAGTATAAATTTTTGAAAAGTGTTTTTGGAAAAATGGAACCAAGCAAATTGATAAGTTTTTATATACATTAGTCTATTATCCAATGTAATAATTTCAATTTGTGACACTTTGATATATTTGGTCATATTTTGAATATTTAAGACAGTAATAATGAATATGTTCTTATGATTATCACCAAAAAAAAAGAAAGAAAGAATGAAAGATGAATATGGTATTTATTTTTGTAATTTTTTCCTTTAGTAAAAATATTTAGTATTTTTTTAATAAAGAAAACTTGCATTTATGCTTATTTTTAAGTAATTGTGAGAAAGTAAAGGCCAGCAAGAAAGGCTACTAATGGAGAGCCTTACTCACTGGTTAATTTGTTTTCCTATAGAAATCTATTAGCTTCCATCAATTGATTGCTTTGTTAACTTTGAAATTCTAACATAGAGATACTGATATGTTGCCCTATCTTACCTTTGGTTTACTATGAAAAATTGCAGGTTAATGGATCACTTGCAAGGAAGGCTATAAGAGAGCTGATGGCTAGAGGCCTGATCAGGATGGTATCTGCCCATGCAAGCCAGCAGATTTATACTAGAGCAACTAACACCTAGGTTTCTCAATATTTTGCTTATTAAACTTTATGTAGTATGACTATTTCATTTATGTTTTTATTTTGTTGTTATCATGCTGGATTGGTTAGCCTTGCATCTGAGTTGGAAGCATTATGTTTTTGGGATTTATGAAACCTTTTTGAGAATGTTATGTTCAATTTGCTTGAACCAATGTCTCCACATTCAATTTTGCTTTAATTATGAGATGTTCTTATCTACCATCGTCCTTGTTTGATTGGTCACCTTGATCTCTAGGAAAGAGATATGTTAGATATTCCAGATGAAAGGATTTAACCTGTGATTGACTGGTAGTTGTTCTACCCTTAGCCAGTGAACACTGGCCAAGTAAGCTAAGCCTTAGATTGTTTCAAATGCATGTTTGTAGTTTGTAAAGCTAGTTTGGACTGAAAATGGGAAACATTGTGATCCCCCAGCTTGGCTACCATCCTTTGATCCCCTGTTGCATTCTGGAGACATGATCCCCTGTTGCATCAACCTCCCAATTGTGGTGGTTAATCGCTTGCCGGTGTTCTATGTGAGTTAACACGACTCCCTGTTTTTAACCTTTTGATTGTATTGCCTTCGTGTGGAATTAAGCACTGCTGGGTTGTAGTGCTTGTTTCTTCTTTCTCCTAGTTTTTACTCCCTTCCCCCACTGACAGGTATGCCGTGTGGGGCTCAGAAAACATGGTATATCTTTTTTCATTAATTGACATGTAAGTAAAATGAAACTCGAGAAGTCACTTTTGCTCAACTCAAGGTGCCAAGTTTTTGCTCATATCAACTTTTTGACGTCATATTTTACTAAATGTTAATTAATAAGTGAAAGGATGACACCATTATCTTGGCCATGTAGTGTAAGCATTATCTATTACATAAGTACTCTCTCCGTATAGTAGAGAGGTAATTTAAGACCTGCAAATGAAGTCTTGATGAACAATAAAGTGCGTCAATTCTCTTTCCAATGGAATATATAAGGGCAAATTACATATACACCCCTCGAGGTTTGGATAAATTACAGATACCCCCTGAGGTTTCGGAAATTACATCCCGCCCCCTGAGGTTTGTATTTTCATAACAATTTGCCCCCTGAGGTTTATATTTCATAACAAATTACCCCCTAATTTCTTATGCAAATATAACATTCAGGGGGGAATTCGTAATTTCTCAAACCTCAGGGGGCATCTGTAATTTAGCCAAATCTCGAGGGGTGTATATGTAATTTGCCCAATATATAATGGTTCCACGAACAACCCAGATCACTCATTGTCAGCAATCACCCAAACATGTTACAACATAGTTCCTCCACAAGAAAGAAAAAAAATTCCCCTCATATCTCAAACAATGATATGAAAAATATTATGAATATCAAATAATTTATCAAATTTCATATCAAACCTCACGTAGGTGTGAAATCCACATAAATCTACATGTGTGTAGATCACACTCACATAAAAAGTTTGATAAAAAATTTAATAAATTATTTGAGATCATTAACATAACTCCATCAATATTAGTAGTTTATAGTCCCTCAACTTCAAGGACTAACTGTTTAAACGAATGAGTTGTCATATGCCAAAGGTCAAGTCAACAATATAAGGTACATGCTAACATTAAGATGTTTGTTGAGGATGACAAAAACAAAGACATCTATCACTAGTCATTCAAGCTATAAAACATATCACCACAGCAACAGAAGCCAGCAATCAAGAAACAAGATCAAAGCTTAAAGCAAGGCCTGCAGTTTTAAAAGCATACTCGTTGCAACTTCCATTTATCTAAAATATGAGGGAAAATATAGCATTACTACTTCATAGGAACATCTTTCGAAGAGCAGTAATATGCCGCGCCGTTTATCCATCATTCTTAAGTTGTTGCTCCATCTCTGCCATTCATTTTCAAACAGGGAGCCCTCTGAACTGTATGCACACAGTTCTCGTGTCCATTTAAAAGCTAATGAATAAGGTCTTGTAACTCTGTTTGCATTACAAAGGCAAAAGCTAAAGAATAAGAGGTGTGGGCTTGTGAAGTTGGAGAAGAAGGATGTCACATAGAACAGTAAAAGAGTTCTTGTCCTCTCTCTTCAGGATGTGAACGACAAGAAAGTACACGATGCAAAAATATATATATATATATACATGTTGCAAACCTAATTCCTTTAAAGACTTACCAAAGCGACATTCATGCTTTCAAACTCTTCCATCAAATGTCCACAAGTTGTCTTGATCGGCAGCCAGAGAATTTCGTCTCCGCGTCGAACAAATACTCTCTGATTCCCAGTACAAATTATTTTGATGCGAAGTACATTCAGAAAAGTTTGGTATTCCAAACTATAAAAGAACCCCTTCGCTCGAATTCACATGGTTGAAAACCACTCATGGCCTTCCCCATCAGAGCCATAGCAGCAATGCTCGGAAACTGCTTCCTTCGAAGCTCATCGAATTCCATCTTCGTACTCTGTGGCTCGCAAACCACCTTCTTCTGACGAGTTGCAGCTCGATTATCACACCACCTTTGTATCCAAGGATGGGAAAGCAATATGTCTCGATCTTTCTTTGTTGATTCCACAGAAGAGGGCTCACCAATTCGTAATACAATTGCAGTCTGATCTGTGGCCATCTTTTCTTTGTCATGATATTTACGGACCATTGGTTCTGAGTTGCTACTTTTGCAGCCTTCCAGACTTTTGATGAATAACTTATTTACCTTTTCATGAGACAAAGCAGCTTCTCCCAAATTTGAGCTTTTGGTGCCAAGTACAAATCTATCTGAAGCTGAAGCAGTCAGCTTCAGACGCTTAAGCCATCTGTTGCTTGGCTCATCATCTGGGTAAGGAATTGATTTTGCTTTACCCGGATGCTCGGTATGGGAAAGAAGAAGTTCTGCATCCAAACTCTGAGTTCTTGAAGTGCTTGCCTCTGCATTGTCCATTGAGTTCAGTGTAGTTGGAAGAGCCAGAATTTCTTCATTTATATCAGGTAACTCGGATCTGTGTCCGACTTTCACTCCTGTTGATGTAATTGTAGGTTGAGATGGTGGATTTTGGCCCATCAAAAAATCCTGCGAAATAAAAAGCTTGTCAGGGTCCTAACCAATCCCATGATCTTCTGTGAAGCAATTTTATATATGGCAGAGCCTGAGAAGCAAGCACAGTAATGAAATAGTTTCTAAAACAGCTGAATTTTTTCCCAGGCAACCAAGAAACATCATCAGACATGTCATTGGATGAATTTACGGGGTCTGGCTCCTCTACAACTATTTGCTACAATCTTGTAACAAGGTTGCCCTGTCCCTAACTTAGAGCATATTATGCTACCCTCCTACAAAACTAATTACTACTTCTCATTATGTGACAATGCAAATTACTACTAGAGCAAATTATGCTACCCTCATTCTACAAAACTAATTATCCAGTAAACCTGTATGGCTGGGTGTAACACCGCACATTATTCCTCGTAATGATTCACATCATCTACCATGTAAGCCCCAAACAAACCTCATGTTCATGGACCAAAAATAATGTCAAACAAACCAAACCAAACTTATAGAGAACCACATTGTTATTACTTTTCTGTCATTCATCTCGTGCACTCCACCACCCATAAGATAAATAATAAATTGCCTATCAGCAATTTGATGACATTCACACAAGGTGTATGTGAATGCACCTTCACACAAGCATATGCACATGCATACAGACAAGAGTAAATAAGGAGCAAATGCATAGCAAGAGGACACATAATTTTAAAAAATCAAAGAAACAGCTGGACTAACCTTATTTGAGGGGGAAGAACTTACACCTGAAACAATCAAAACCAAAAAAATGAATGTGTTAGGCATAACACTCATGAAAAGTAATGTAGATCCTAGACAATAACCTAGCAAGACCATAGTTATTTTCCATCACAAATTTTCTCCTATCAACATTATAGGAAATGTGCTTCAAATAAATCACAAAGATATGGTGGAGTGAATACATACCAGAAAGATAATTATGGTCCTTGAAAGCATCCGTGTCCATGGTATCAGTCTCGGCAGATGATTCATTCTTTGAACGAACTTCAGATGTTTCAACACCTTCAACATTATCTTTTCCCTCACACTCAGTGGAGCTACCAAGTGGCTGAAGCTTCAATCTTTGTTGATTCTGAGCCAAAGGTGGAGATAAAGTGAGGAGTTCACCAAACATATTTCTGTTTAATTTAGAAGATACTCTTGACTCTCTGTATGTCTGATTCTCTTCGGACAAATTAACATCGGTCTTTTTCATGAATAACAAACTACGAGTTGTCTGAGAAAATGCACCAGGATCTCCAGATAACCCCTCCACAGAATTTGTGGCACAAATTCTCAGAGTCTCCACATCATGAATAGAATTTGCTATCATTGCTTCTGGGGGATTGCTACAGCTCGGAAAAAATCCAGTACTTGAACAATTTTGCATCTTCTGGCAGCGTTCAACAAGCATTGGCAAATGATAATTATCCTGAAGTAACCGGGATGCATTAGTCTGCCTTAAAAATGAAGTTCCAGACTTCACACAGGTTGAGTGGTTATCCACTTTCTTCCCACAAACCAAAAGTGCAGGATGGCCGAGATAGTTATCATTTTCGTGTTCCAAAGTTGTGAAATTAGTATTTGATAAGTGCTCTTTGGATACTAATCTACTCATGAAGGATGATGACACTGGAGTTTTTCCTTTTTCGGATCTATATGGCACCATCTGAGTTGACCCAATAAAATTGTTCTGAGGCCCTGCAAGAGCCAAGCTTCCATCTCCAACAACTTTAGGTGACTTCACAAGCCCTTCAGGACTTAGTGAGACTCCTTCATACTGAAACTCTCTTGGTGAGGATTCTATTGCAGAAGGAGCCACGGCAAGTACCGAAGGAAAATGGCCCGCAGTTGTGCAAGCATTGTACTCAACGTTGCAGTCAATTTGAGGCCTTGATACTTGCTTGTGGCAAGAAATGTCCAAGTCATTCTTCGAATCCAATCCACTACTAATATTTTGAGAAACTCTAAACATTGGAAATTGTTGGGAATCTAACTGTTCATCTATCATGTTTTTTGAATTCGTCAAACCATCATTCACGATTCTAACTGTTCTGGCTTCAGTTACTTCAGTAAATCCCTTAACAGATGGAGAAATATCAGAAGCTCTCTCTAAAT